GAGGCGGCGGCGGCGGAGGAGGAGAGGAGGCGCCGGCGACGGGATGGATGAGGTCGTTTACGGTGGCGGCCTATAAGCCTTATTTTGATGTGGATACCTCTGATGTTTTGGAGAGGATTAAGGATTCGCTGTTTCCGTTTAAGGGGAGCTTCACTGAGAAGACTCAGGATAATCCCGATCTGTGAGTTTTGTTTTTTTGTTTATTAGTGTTCTTGATCGTCTACTAGTAATGTGCCTTGTAAGATCTGAGAGTTAGCAAGCGGAAACCATTTGATTTGATGAATAAAATAAATTGAGGGTGGATGAGAATTAGCCAATAATTTGATTGAGCACCACTTTAATTTCATTCATCTAGATTCACAAAGGTTTTAACATTACTTTTCTGTGAGTTAGTGACTTTGCAGATCTTTCGATATTACTACTTAGCATGCAATATTTTTTGCTTTAGTGTCATGAATATGTGATCATTATTTCATTAAGCATCGTTGAGAATTGAAGTGTGATGCTTGAAAATGCTTCCTATTAAAATAAGTAAACCAATGGTTATCGTATTTGCATGACATGAGTTGCAGAGGTCATTTATCCTTGGGATAATGTTTATTTTCATCCTTTTCAAGTCCCATACCCAACCAAGAAGAAAAGTATGACCCGTTCCAAGTTCAACATGCAAAGACAGGAAAAAGAAAGAAAGAAAAAGAGGAAACCTATGAATGTTATTTCTCATTCCTTGAATATTTGATCACATTACTCTTTCCATGATCTTATATTGCCTTGCATTTTTGATATGTTCTCCTGCATATTGTCTTCATCCAAAATCTATCAAAATTTATATTTAGAATTTTAGATTCACAACTAAAATTATCTACGTATTGCATAATGTGACCATAGAGTTGTATTTCAGTTTAAGTGGGTGAAGTCAAATCCCCACTCATTGATCATGTGTGTTAGCCACTTGCTCATGTTTAACGTGAGCCGTTGGATTGGTTTTGATCCAATGGTTGTCATTTGTTGAGGGCCTTGACTAAAGGGATGAAGTGGCTTAGTGTAGAGAGATAGATAAAACAAGAGAACATAGAATAGAGAGGAGAAAGAGAGAAGCTTGAAGGAGAGCCATTTCTAGGTTTCTTGGAGATTGTTGGAGGCGATCTTTGTAGAAATTCTCTTAGCTTTGTGTATTCTCTTATTGTAGGTGAGATCTCTTGTACTTGTAATCTCCCATTCATAGTGAAAGAATTAAGTTGGCATTGTTCTTCCGTCGATGTAGACTTTTTTTTAGCGAAACCACATATATCTTTGTGTCCATTGTGGTTGTTGGTTGTTCTTATTGTTATTGCCTTCTTTGTGTGAACACTTGTGTGTGGATCCTTAGGCCCACCATACTTTCCAACACAGTCTTTTTTATAAATTATTAAAGCATTTTGGCTAACTTATTCATAAAAATCAATCTTCACTCTCCTCCTATTCATTTTTTATTTTTATTTTTAACTTTTGCTTCTAAGTTCGATACACCATTTTGTTACTCTCATTTGCCATGTTCCGTAAACTTTTTTCTTTGCTCTTTTTGTTAAAGCTTAGTCTGCATATGTTCGCTTGTGGCAGTTTTGCTTCTTGATTTGAAGTTGCCTGTTCTTTTTCCCTACTATTATGATTTTTGTCTACTTTCATAGCTTTGCTTTACCAGTGTAGTTTCACTTTTGTCTACTAGAGTAATGGTTACATATTCTAAATGGTGTTTGTTTTGTGTTCCACTTTGTCTACTAAAGTAATATTACATATTTAACATGGTGTTCTTTTGCCTATTGGATTTATCTCTGCATCGGAGTTCAATGTAATTCTCTATAACAAATCCATCATCTTCCTTTTCTTCTAGACTTATCCCCCCAGTCTAGGCCAAGTGCAAATATTACGCAAGCCTCTCTCTTTTGTCCCAAGTTTCCTCGGAGGTATTTGTTGCAAGGGTTGGCATAAGTTTGATATATATAATAGTAAAGCTTTGTCAACTTCGCAGAAAGTCCTGCTTCATTTTGATGAGAAAGCGCTTAAAAGATGATACTGTAAATGTTGCAACTTACAGCTGCACATTTCGCTTGTTGGTCCTCAATTTGTTTTCCATGCTTTGATGTTTTTTGCTTTGAGTAATGCTCGGGTTCTGTCTGAGATTAGTTTTCTTATATAATATTTCATATGGAAGATGTTAAGAATAAAATAAATAAGGATATTCGATGACACAAATTACAACGAATGCAGTCACCCATAGACAAAGGGTACGCAAGCATTCTTTTATGGGTTCTTCTAGCTTTTTGATTCATGCTTGTGCTCAAATTTATATCTTGCACTTTTGTACTAATACTTGGAGTTTGGTAGGTATGGACCATTCTGGATATGCACTACCTTAATATTTGTGGCAGCAGCTATTGGGACTTTTGTTACATATTTGGCACACAAGTTGCAGCACAAAGAGTGGGATTACGACATTAACCTCATCACATGGTCTGCTGGTTTGTTCTATGGTTATGTGACCTTTGTTCCTTTAGGTCTGTATATAATTCTGAAGTACTTCTCAGCACCCTCTGGGCTCGTGCATCTCTGGTGCCTATATGGCTACTCTCTATTTGTGTTCATTCCTGCCTCAGTAAGTTAAATAATTTATTTCTATTTTCTTGTTCCATTTGTTTTTAAATAAAAGCAGAACTGCAATAGCCAATCTCACTCTTAAGCACGTAATCTCAGTTTAATAGGTTATCTTGCTAGCAATCTTGGTTCAACTTCAACATTTTTGGTTGACATAGGCCCTTTCATTATTTGTTTATTTTACTGGATTGATAGAAGGAAATGACTGGATTGATAGAATGAAATGCGCTGCTACTTGGTAGACAGCAATCTTGGTTCAATTTGAGCATCTTTAGTTCCATTGACCCCCCACCCCACCCCACCCCACCCCAAAACCCCAAAAAATTATGATTCGTTTCTTTTAATCATAGAATAAAACATGCTGCACATGCTGCAACTGGACTGTTTATGAACAGTTCAGAATATCATTGGTACCTACTTTTATGTTTATAGTTTGTTCTATGTTATGTCATTCTCCTGATTTTAGATTGTTGTCTTACTGGTTATACTATTTTATTGATTCAAAACCGTCGCATACATTGAGGGGCAAAAAAGGTACTGAAACAGGAAGTTCAATAACCTAAGATCCTGAAAAAAATACTGAATTTGACTAAATAGCAGAGAACTAGTAATGCCTCTATCAAAATATGTATCCTTCACATGGATACTTCTATCAAATGTGATGTCTGTGTTCACATGTATTAGACATGCTTGTTCGTAGGCACATGCCGTCCTTTTTCTTTCACTTTCATAGTAAATATTATATTTTAAAGAAAAGCATATGGCAGTAGCAGACCATTTTCATTTGGGGCCCGTTTGGTTGGTTTCCTAAAATCAAAGAAAAGGAAACCGGTACAAGGAAATCAATAAAATAATATTTTTATCCATTTCCATCCCTAAAACTCACCCATAACATCCAATAAAATGTTATTTTTATCATCCAACTCATCTCATTTCATCTCCTTTCTTACCTTTAAAAATAAATCAAACACAAGAAATGTGTCACATCATCCAACTCATCACATCTCATCTTATCTTATTTTTAAAAATCACACACATCATCCGATAATATTGTGACAACTCATCCCATCTCATTAAACATTAAAAAAAAACAAGAAATTGATTTCCTTAAATATGTGTCACATCATCCAATAATATACCTCCATCTCATCTCATCTATTTTCTTATTTTTAAAAATGAACCAAACACAAACAATCTCAAAACATCATCCAATAATATACCTCCAATTCATTTCCTTTTTTTAACCAACCAAACAACGTCAAAACAATTTTTTTTAAAAAATCACTCACATCATCCAATAATAAGGTGACAACTCATCTCATCTCATCTCCTATTCTATAATTTCCTTCTTTTTTAAACCAACCAAACAACCTCAAAACAATTATTATAGGAAATATGTTTCCTATTCTTTGATTTCCCAATTTTTTTTGCGAAAGGAACAGCCCCTTGGTGATACCCAAAGAGAATTATAGATTTCTTGGCAGCACCCTACAAATTTGATACTTTCGGAATATTGGTGCATATCAGTACCAATGTTTCACAAACCATTAGATCGGTGATTTAAGCTTATATCCAGGTTGAAATTGAGGCAATGTAAGGTTTCGGTTTAGAGTCTGGCAGATCTGGTTTTCCATTTGCCCCACCTCTATAAGATGTAAGCATTGCACAATTGAACTAATAAAATATTTTTAAAATAAAAGAAAATTCTTTGAGTAGAAGATTCTTGGTTTCGTGATGAAGTCTAAAAAAGAAGAAAGTTTTATGTATAACGTATTGAAATTGTTGAGCAAAGTCAGGACAATGGGTTGAAGCCTTTATCCAGGTTTTGCTATCTGTTGAGGTTTTGACTTTTGAAAGTCTGGAATCAGATAAAATTTGAGATTTGCTTCTTCGTTGCATGACTTTAAACTGTCTTGACAAAAGCATGTAGATTCTAACAGTTACTCATCAAGGTTTTATGTCAAGGTTTCACTTTTTTCGTATAGTTCCCTTAGCCAGTACTAGGCATCAACTTATACAGGGTTGAAATTGGGTTCTAAATTCTTTTGCCAATTATTTGGATCTCTCTGCTCGGATTTGGTCCATTGGAACCCCGTTTTGATGGGAGAAGAGCATAAATGATCTTTGTGTATTATTAAAATGGATAATCTTGGATTCTAAATGGAAGCTCCAATCTTTGTGGCCGGCTATCATTTTCTTCAGGGTTGGAAAAACTAAATTTAAATTATATCGAATATCTAGTTTTTCAGGCAAAACTTGCGTTCTTACCAAGTGCGGTTAGTGATTGATCGTGTTTTGTTGATTTGGGAATTCATTTCATACCATTCCTCCATATTGTGACTTACCAATAAAATTTTGCACCGTCTAATCTGAATCCTTTATATGAACAGTGCCTGTCAGTTGTACCTGTGGAAATCTTTAGATGGGTGATAGCAGGCGTTGCTGGGTTCATGTCAGCTGCATTTGTTGCCTTAAATCTTCGCACTCACATCATGTCAGCTGGCGAGAGATGGTTTCTCATTGTGGCTGGAATATTCTTGTTGCAACTGGGACTAGCCGTCGTTTTGAAGCTCTATTTCTTCACCATTACAGTTGGAAAAGAGTAACACGAAGAGTTCCAGCGTCACAGATGGAACGTGAAGGAAGAGAAGGAAAGGGTGTCTTTTTGCAATGTATCCAGATGTCGACTTGTCTTACAAACAACTTGCATAGCCACATGTACAACTGACATTATTTTTGTAGTTATTCAATAATTGATTTGCTTTTTGTTCTTTATTGAGCATATGGTTATATGAATGTGTACCACGTAGTCGTTCGTTTTTCCTAATTAATACAGAGTTACTTTACTGCATTGATGTCGTTGTCATTTCTCGTGTTACATGAACGCATCCTAAGATGTTACTCCTGTATGTATCCTGTTAAATCAGTCTTTGTACATTCTTCAGACTCCTCGCTTTTTCTTCGTAGATCTGCATTCGTCTGTTTGTACTCGTTACCCAGCCTATTACGGCTCACCTCAATCAGACGTTAAGACGATCAAATTCTTAGAAACTTGCGGAATTACATTTCACTAATCTCCTCACTTTGGATTAAACAAGCATTCGCAATTAAACTTGGCACCAGGCGATGACTCACGCCACAGCACAAAGACAACAATAGAAGTCTCTTCCAAATTCTGATCCATGTGTATAACATAATTAGTAATTGATTGTTTTCTAATACATATTCATGTAATTAACGCGTATGTGCATAAGCAATGTAACTGTCATTTAAAAGCAAGAGAAAACAATAGATGTCCAAAGGTAAGAGAAAAACAGCAGTCAGCTGCAGTGTCATGGGAACGATGGAACCTGTAGTTTGTTTTAGCTCAAGCACCAGCCTTGGACAAAAAAATTCAAATCTAACTGGTAACTGGAACATTGTGATATGCTTGGCCTTTGGCTTCGAGGAACGCTGTTTAATCTTCACCGCCGAAGAAGTCTTCGTCTGAGGGGACCAGAACAGAGAAGTTCGCTTTAGCTCATAAGTAATTTGTTGCAAACAAAATGAATCAGTTATCATAATTTGTAAAAGTGATGATGTTTCATTTATAGTTCAGAATGTCCATGTTGACGATATTCTATATGACCCTAACATGGATGGAATGGAAAAGAAAAAACTGCATTTGGATAACAAGAAACGTGGATCCAAAGTCAGCAATATGGTTATTTAAAAACTGTTCAGTTTCTACTGCCACATAATATTATCTCGATAACATTAAATGAAACATGGATATTAGCGTATAAATTATTCCAAATATGCATCAGCGAATGTGGTAAACGAGCAGTAACTATATGAAACTACCTCTTCAAATTCAAGTCATGCACCAATCTTGGAGATGGAGAAAGAAAAATAAGGAAAGAAAGAGAAGAAACGTGAAAAGAAAATAATATCAAAACTGGAGGTAGTTTGCAATTGAAGAATTGCAAAAATAACCGAAAATTCAACTTTAGCTAGTTCAGATGCAATTTAAGAAACTATCAAATTCTTTTGAGACTAAACCTTTTAGCAAATAGAAACTACGAAATCCCCTTTTGAGACTGAATCGTAAAGCAAACCATCAAATTCTTACAGATTGTTGTGTCCAGAAAACGTGGGAGACAACAATGGAATCAATGGATTGCGAGGAAGAAATGGTAACAGGTAAATTTATGAAGAAAAATATTACAGCCATCACAAATTTCAGGAACATCTGCATTGTACTAAGATGATTATCAGGTGCAACTGATTTAACTAGATGAGATTTCAAAGTGTATAAGCCAAGCTGGCTTGTTCGTTCATTGACTCCCATCAAGGTCTATTGCACAAACTCTAGAATTATCTGTGGTTTTCTTTCCAAGCTTTTAGTACTGATTTAGCAGTTTGGCATATGGAAACGAATCAAACGAATCATTCAGGAGAAAAGCATAAATATGGTGACATTCAGAAAGAACCCATTCTAGGTACAAGTGCTAGTATAAAAAATTCACAATGATAAGCTAAAATGATATTGCACTAAAATTTATTTATCTAGCTAGTGAACTGTATCACGTCATATTTATTGGTTGATTATCTCTAATAATATGCTAATATCATTGACCCTAATGGCTGGCTAAACCAAGCAGCGTCCCTAAAGATTGGAGAGGCATTTTTCACAACACAAAAATCATGGATTAAGCCCAAAAGTACAATTAAAAAGTGTGTACCTGGTCCTTCATCAATGTTGAAGTCATCATCGTCATCATCAAAATCTATATTCTGCAAACAATAGCAAGACGTCAATAGTTGCAGGGATACTTCTGCAATCATGATACGAGCAGAAGCGATGGTTTATAAGAATTAAAGTGGTAAACCATCAGCAGTGGCATCTCCAACCCAAATAAACCAGAATAGTGCTTACATTTAATTCTCAAGAAAACTGAAATAGAATATTTCACTTGTTGCTTTGATATATATAATTTAGAGGGTAAAGATATTTCCAAATAAAATCGGAAGAAGAAATGAAAAAAAGCTAAATAACAAGATAAAGGCATTTATTTCTAATAAAGTAGACACATAAAACAAGATAAATTTTTATGGTCTGGGGCAATATTTTAGCCAGTTGAGTAGATTATACAAAAGTCTGAAGTGCATAGGAATACAAAATAATGATAACAAAAGTATTATTATGCAAGGCATTAAATAAGTTAACAAGAACATAACCAGACTATAGAGTGAATATCCCTGGTTTTACATGTTACCTGATTACAATGATAAGACAAACAATATTATGCAAGCCAATAGGCAAGAGCAACAAATATAGACTATAGAGTGAAAATGTCCCTGGTTTTAATATTACCTGATTATAATCACCATCATCACTCTCTTCTTCTCCCTGTTCTTCTACCTCTACTTCATCTTCATCCTCATCTTTCTTAAAATGATCTTCTTTCCCCTTAGCTTTCCCCTGAATATCATGACAAGCATTTATAAGAACAAATGACTAAACAAGACAAGGGAAGACCTTAAGAGGATGAGACCATTATGTTTCCTATAAGGGGTCCTTGCGACCTGAATCTGTTAGACTACAATTAGCCTATGAAATGGATGGGATATAATTACAAACACTACAAATGTGCACTGAGAAGATTTTTCACATAGGACAATGACAAAAACAAATAATTAACACCACAAGCATAAACTTCTTATTTAAAAATCAAACAATGACGTGATAATCATCTGTCAGATGAAGACTTCTTTTCTTTTGTTGTCATAACAATGAAGTGCAAAAATCAACTGGTTAAAAGAACATAAAACTCTTAACAAGTTGAAAGAAAATATTATGTAACGAATGTGTTACACTTGCCTCTGCCTCTTCAAGCTTTGCAAAAAAGTCCTTCCCATCACCTGTGGTAGAAACCAAGATGCAGGTAGAAAACCATCAACTCACATTAGAATTAAATTAGAGCCTAGAATAAAGGTGCCAGCAAAATAATAAACTGCAAAAAGAAGGAGGGCGCAGGATGCATCCAAAAGATTTAAGCGACCTTCACGCTAAAGGTGCAATGAAAAAGTAAATCCAAACAACGATAGGAGCGGGAAAAAAACAATGAGGTTAAAGTAATTCACAAGTATAAATTTGAACACAATCACTTCACAACAGGATTGAATTTGCCCAAGTCAACCAAGTTATGGGTACATTTAATATTTAAGGTCAAGAAATGTCTGAAATATACAATGGAATTCAGTTATCTTCTGAGTTGCCAATGATCATGAGTTATAAAATTTAGATAAATAATCCAAACACAGTCAAGACTTCATTGCGAACATAAAATTTCCCAATTACTCCAGGTACTGGATGTTCCAAACCTACATAAATATAAATAATGCCATTATAGCCATTTCTGGTGCGAATAAAACAAACTATCTGAAGCTTTTCGAACACAATTGAAAAAGACTATGTCGAATAGTGATAGGTGATGTGAAGTGAAAGGGGAATCCCAACACAAAGAACCCACAAAAAGTTCCAAAAGGCTGACTTGTTAATTGAAAAAGTCTAGTTCTCTACAATCTTCTGATTTAGAGAAACATGGAGACAATACGCCTAGTTTGAAGTAGTGGATGTAGGCCAGAGTACCAAAGCGAAAGCTAATATGAATGCAGCAAGAAAAGAAGGAAGGATATTATAAGCTAATTAACAACAAAGTATCATGCAGACTTTATGTGATTCCTCATTTCCATGTTCAACATAGTGTGAGCTCCAAACTCAGTCGAGATGCGTGGAAGTGGAACAAAAGAAGGAAAAGAAAAAAAAGGAAACGACAATTTCTGCATACTATTGAGGGCTGACTAGGGATAATTGTTGTATAGTACAGCCAAAAAAATCATTCACAACAAGAAATGGTGAAAAACTGAAGAACTCTCCATTGAGAAATGATTTTTTGTGCTTTTTTTATATTACGCTCTCTCTTTCTCTTACAGTTAAATAGTACATAATAAAAAAACTAATAAGAACAGGTTCAAGCTTTACGTAATCTAGACAAAAGCTAATGTTTTTTTTTAATCCTGTTTCTCAAGAAGTACTCATTTGGCAAGTTCACATTTTTATATGTATGAATTATGAAATAGGGTTAATTGAGGATAGACCCCTGTATCGCCCAATTGCGGATAGACCCCCCCATACTACTATTATCGGCATTATCGCAGATAGCCCCCTGAATAAATTTTAAAACTCTTTTACCCTCAAAGGAGGAAATTGTTTTTTGAATTTTGAGAAATAGACCTCTTTAGGGAAAATCATCAAAAAAATCCACTCAAGGGTCCTATCCGCACTTGGGCTATAGTACAGGGAGTATATATGCAACTATGATAGTACAGGAGGTCTATCCGCAATTAACTCTATCGAATATGGCAATGCTTGCAGTAGCTACTACATGATTATAACAAGCAAAGTTGCAGTCAACTCCCTATCAAAAGTACCATTAATAATTACTTTCTTAGAAAATAACAAGGCATTGATTACGTTATGGAGATACTGATTATCTTTAACATAGAAATGGTGGATAAAGTTGGAGATAATTTCTCTAATTGTATGCATCCATCACTAACTAAATAAATGTGTCAGAATAAAAGAAAATTTATGCGTTATATTAAGCAAACTATCATACCCTTGCATGCTGTAGAGTTCCTTTCATCAAATCACATTAATAACATAAGAGCAAGATAAATCCAAAATATTATTGGGTCAGCAAATCAAATAGAACAATAAAAAATGATGAAAAATGAGATTCAAACTGTACTTATAATTCTCAATTTTCACTGACCTGAATCTCGATCCCACCGTAATTTCTTTGGAACCCGCTGCAACCTTGCACCTGAAAATTTTCAATTACAACTAAACAGAGGGCCAAAACTATGATTTGTAATAGAAAAGGAGCATATGACCTTTTCCTGATAGAAAAATAAC